TGCTGCTCTACCATCTCCCTACACTCTGCATACAGCCCAGGAAGTGCAGTCAGTGCAAAATGTTTCCGACCAGGTAGCTCGTATCTGGGGTCAAGGACTCTAATAAGCTTCTTGAATCCCTCATTTTCGACAGTGCTAATGGGAAGCATGTCTTTTGCAATGCAATATGCAACTGCATTTGTGATGTCTTCATGTCTTTTCGTTTTTTTGTCGTAAGGAACAGTGCTCAAAAATGATGCTACTATGGTTTGCTGCTGTGTAGTCGCACTGAATACTGGCCTGGTGCTTATAGATGGTCCCCTTCCACTAACAACAGTAGTTTGTGACTGTAATTTTTTTACTTTCTGCGTGTTCTACCGGGTAATGTTGTTTTAAATGGTGAAATAGGTTCGTGGTGTTGGCTGTCTTTGCTGGCACGGATCTGCGGCACAGTTTGCAGTGCATGCTGCTCTGTTTTATGTCTGATCATAAAAAGCCAAAATATCTCCAAATTACCGAAATTGTATAACCTTTTCTGTCGACGATGTCATCGTCCTTTGAGCTGGTCGTTGGCAGCACTACATTTGCTTCAGTGTCGCTCATTCCTCCACTCTAACTACAATCCTGTCAGCCACCACCGTGTGGGTAAACAGCACCACGTTAGCTGCCCGCTCTGCAACACGCACCCGCACTCACGCAGTATTTTGTGTGCATGTGCATATCATGTGCAAAGCATAAACATATATCGAACATTTATCAAACTTTTGTTAAAATTTTATCGAGGAAAATTATATCGCGATTATTAACGTTATCGAATTATCGCCCAGCCCTACATAATAAACAAAGTCTGGTTTGTGGTGCAGTATAATGATACCTGAGAGAAAACATATAAATGATTTCTTTGTCCTCATCAGCCATATGCACTATCATAGTGAATTGCTTTCTGTTTTTTTTAAACTATTCAGTAAGAACAGGAAAGAAATCTGTGTCTCCTGAATGGAAGACAAATGATGCAAAGCATGAGTTACTCAGGTGCAGAATGGCTCCTGATTGAAAATGATCTTTGCACTCTTCTCTCCTGTCTAGCTCTTTGGTGCAGTCTAAGATTTTTCCTGACCTTAAGGACAAAAACCCAGAAGATCCTCTCTCAGAAGTGAAGGATCCCTTACCAGACAAGCTCAAGAACTCTGTAGTAAGTGTGCTGAAATCTGTGAGATTTTTGGTTAGACTTGTTTCTGAGTTTTAAACTGCTTTACATCTTTGGCTTCCATATTGTAAGATGTACTGTTTTCTTCAACAATCCACAAGAAACGCAAGAAGAAAATGGAAACCACTAACAACTACCCAAAGGGTTGTGGGAGGATGGAACAGGTTACACAGCCATGTTGATGCTGATATCTTAGTCTATTTGAAGAAACATGACATCCTAGATTAGGTTAGCTACTAGCTACCAAACAGGCTAGATGGGACGAATCTCTTTTGTTACTATTCTCATGACCTTCCCCAGGTTCTAAAATAGTAATGTCTGTAGTAAATAGTAAAATAGTAAAGTTTTTTGATGTTGCTGTCCTGAAATCAGGATTACCTTTATTTGTCCAATAGCATTAACCTGTTTCTTCTTTCTTTCCAGAATGAGCGCCTTCAATCAGACTTGATAGTCTGTGTGGTGATTGCAGTTTTATACTTTGCCATCCATGTCAGCACGGTGTTCATTGCTTTACAGGTAATGGTATTTAAGAGCATTGAAATATGAAGCACGGAGACACGTCTTTACGTCATGTTTCTTTCAAAATATTTTATTAAACTTGTAGCAAGTAAAAGGTTCATAGGCTCTGCTTTTGGCACCATGGGTGTAATTCTGAATTGGGTGTGACTAAACTTGCCTGAGATTGTTTTCAAGCTGCAAAATAATCTTATAATCTTTCCGACTGGTCTCAGTCAAATCTGATAACTCCCCTGTTATTACCTATATTGGATGTGCATAGATGTAGATATCAAAGAGCTTTTTATGTGCAAATTTTACCTGAAAAACAGGAGACTGCTACTCCTAGGCTCCTAAATATTCATTTATCCTCTTCCTAGAACCTTACTCTCAAAAATGGATAGTTAAAAATGAATCGTATTTTTGTCATTTCCCCCCCTCTCTCCACCAGCCCTTCCTGAGCTATGTGCTGTATGCTTTGGTGGGAGCAGTGGGATTGTTGACACACTACCTGCTGCCTCAAGTGCGCAAACAGCTGCCATGGTACTGCTTCTCCCACCCTCTAATCAAGACCAAGGAATATTACCAGTTTGAGGTCAGAGGTAAGCCAGTGATGATGTGATGGAGTCTCCTCATTCTCTTGCTCCTGTTCTGACTTCAAGGAGGAGAATAATGCCTCCATTAACTTGACATTAATATATTCGAAAAAGTAAAATATTTTTGTAGGCTCATTCCTTGCCATTCCTTTCCACTGCAGTACTTTTTTCCAGGTATTTCTTAATTATGTTCTGCTGATTGAAGTCCTGTGATTTCAGCGTGTGGATTGAAGTATGGATTCACAGTATGGAGTTTTAAAACTATTCAGTAAGGAGTTGTTTTTTCTGTTAGACCTAAATCCGATTTTAACAGCTTCATAATTTGGAGCACATGTTTTTGCTCAGTTCAGTGAACTAGATTTATCAAATGTATTTTGCACACAGTCTTATATCTTCTAATATTTTGCATGCCTGGATAAAGTCTTCAGCTGACCCATGCTCATCTGAATTCAAGCATGGGTTTTTGTTCTTCAATGGGCTGTATACCTGTGTGGATTATAAAGACTCACGATGTATGATCATTGTAGGAATCTCAATGTAAACATATCAACAATGGTGATCTAGTGTCACAGTTTTTGCAATCATTGCATTTCAGTCTTTTCCTGGCTATGAAGTCAATTCTCAAGTAACCAATGTTAATATGAGCACACGTTAACTTAGAATGAAATTAGAGTTTTAAAGAGATTGTAATGAGATGGTGTCCAGTCCAGGGTGAGACCAGTGCTCTTAGCTCTACCTTGTGCCCTATGCTTTTCGGATAGGATTTGTGTTGCTGTTACTCCCTCTGGAAAGAAACAGGTTTTTTCATGATGTATGGATGGAGTTTTAAGAACAGTGCTGCTCTTCATCAAGGTAGCTTAAAAACATAACCACAACTCAACACATCCACTGTAAGCTCTGTCAAAGCAGATCCACCGTGCAAGTGTTGTTGCTTTATGTGACAAGCACTGTGACAAATGTGCTTCAGTCCAGGAATGAATATAGTTTTGCTTCTCAGCAACGTCTCTAAAGTGTGTTTGTCTTATGCCATAGTGACCAGAGTTGAACTTGGTGTGACAGAAGCTTTAAAACTACTTTGTTGTGCAGCTTCCTTTCACCATTCCTCCATACTGTATTTCAGACAGTAACATTTGTGCAACAATAATTTTGAGTCTGCTGTCCCAATACTGACAATTACAGACCTATTGCAACCCTTCAGTTGCACTAATTGCTTTCCACAAGTGTAACTGTTCAACCCTAATGCTTTTTAGCATCATTCAGCAGCATCTTCCGTTATTTAGTTTTACAATTCTGAATGTATCGCCCTTGGTGTATTTCATCTATATACGTTTACTTACTTTGTTTTATTTTCCCAGAAACTTGGTTTTGCAGACAAGTAAAAGACACAGCATAGTACACTATACATTTAACACAACGTGATCCCAAAAGAGACATGCATGCATGATGAGAAAAGGAAAAAAAAACGCGAAACATTTCTCTATGCCTAAAGTAATATGAAATCCATTGTCCAAATTATGCAACTTAATAGTTAATAGACATGGAAATAAAAGATAACTTAGTTGTGTTGCATTTAAACCTACATGTAAGTAGTCTAAATTGACAGCCAGATGGAAGCAGCCGAGATTCACTGTGAAAAGGGTTTTTATTGGCCTCATTATTTGTTTGATATTGATGTCTGAGAGCTGTAGTTGACAGTTTCATAAGTACCCATGAGAAATTAAATTGCCTGAAACTGCTTAATCAAACGGCTCCACTTTGTTTAGAAATGTTATCCCTGTATTTCTACACAACAAGTGTTCAATATTAACTATTAAATGGTTATAACTATTCTTACATCCCCGAGGAGAGAATTTCTCATTGTGTTGACTCTAGCTTGGCTGTCTTACACATCTTCCCTGTGTAAATTCTTCCGGTCCAGGGGCTGCTCATGTGATGTGGTTCGAGAAGGTGCACGTCTGGCTGCTGTTTGTGGAGAAGAATGTGCTGTACCCCCTAGTCATCCTGAACGAGCTGAGCGGCAGTGCCAGGGCAATCGCCAGCCCCAAGAAACTGGACACGGAGTGAGTCTCTGCCTTTCCCCGTCTTCCTCATAGAGGAACGAGGCCAAGTCCCGAAGACTATTTGAAAAATCTAATTTAGATAGAATCTAATTTGTTATCAATCTAAACTATTCTTGAGCCGCAGGTTAGCCAGGGACATCTTGCATTGGCAAACTAGTCTGTTCAGTACTGGAAAAGTATTTGTGAAGTTCCTTCCCCAGTTGTCCAACTGGGACAGGAAAGGCGGGCCTATGGGCCTCCAGTTTGAATTCCCTCTTCTTTGCTCTGTCTCAGAGTGGGGGCTCTGATGATCACCATTGCTGGGCTGAAGCTCCTGCGCTCCTCCTTCAGCAGCCCCACCTACCAGTATGTCACCGTGCTCTTCACCGTCCTCTTCTTCACCTTCGACTACCGCTCGCTGTCCGAGACCCTGCTGCTGGACCTCTTCCTCATGTCCATCGTCTTCAGCAAGGTAAGGTCCTCAGTGTGCCTGAGGTGCTGCAAAACCTCAGACTACACCTCCAGCTTGAAAAAAAGTGAACAAGCATCAGGAGCCTTTGCCTCTTTTAGGACATGTTTAATTTAGTGATGACTTAGTTAACTGGTTTAGCCAAAACTGATGTCTTGTGGTTATGTTACTAGGAACAGTCAGGTGTAATCCCTGATGTTTTGCAAGATCCTCTCCAGCTCAGTTATTTCATAGTGTAACTGCTGATGCTGCTGTTCACACTTTTAATAAGTGAGGGGAAAAAAAGGCGCTCTCTTTGTAGAGGTTTAACTGCCATTTGCCTGTTGTCCACTCTTGTGTATATTCAACGAATGGTGCAGAAGTTTAAGGATTTGTAGTTTTTGAACAGTCCTTTATTTTTTTTAGTCATTTAAACCCCAACTCCACAGGGAGGAAACACACAAACAATTACAAAAAAAAGCAGACATACCTTTCTTCTAGAGATACACAACACACTGCAAAAGGAATTTCTTGTAAGCAAGCGACACTGACAGTTTTCCTAAGATAATCCAAACACTGCTCTCTGTTTATTGACTACTGCATGTTCCAGGAGTTTGTAACAACACTACCTGTAAATGAGGTGTGTGAATTCAAGTCCGAACAAGCACAAGAAATTAGATTTCATAGTTTTTAAATCTAATTTCTGTCTTGAAATATCTAGCAGCTGGGTTTTGCTTTTTTCATTTCCCTTTCTTTAACTCTGGAGGCTTTGACTTGGATCCCGTGCTTGACTGTGGCACCCTTGTGCACGACTGGGCATTCCAACCTTAAACTGTCCACAGTGACCTCAGAGCCAACCCTGACATCACGCTGAAGTTCAGCCTTCTGTTGTTTCTGACCACACCACTCTACAGTCTGACCACAGGGCTCATCTTCAAGTCTGATTTTCTTGTGTTTGGCAATTTGAGTCAGTAGTAGTTAAAGAAAACTAAAGGCTTTTTAACAAGGGGGAGATGTGAATATGAAGTTTTTTTCCTCCATACACTGTGTTTATCGTGTGTAAGAAACTGGCTCTCTGGCTTCAGAGTTTATTTTCTGAGGTGGAGATCATTTCATTTCTCCTGCGGGCGTCTAGCCGCTTTGGTAAGTGGGTGTATTCCTGATGTTTGTCTTCTAGCTGTGGGAACTGTTCTACAAGCTGCGCTTCGTGTACACCTACATTGCCCCCTGGCAGATCACATGGGGCTCGGCCTTCCACGCCTTTGCCCAGCCCTTTGCAGTGCCTCGTATCCTTTAAACTGCAGACTGACTCAAACTGGGGTAATTAGGGGAGTACCACAGGGATCTGTACTGCGACCGTTGGTCTTCTTAATTATATCTGTAATGTAATTAGTGGAGTAGCACAGAGATCTGTACTGGAACCATTGCTCTTCTTAATTCTGTGAGTGATGTAATTAGTGGAGTACTGCAGGGATCTGTATTGGGACCATTGCTCTTCTTAATTCTATCAGTGATGTAATTAGTGGAGTATTTCAAGGGCCTGTACTGGGAACTATTCTAGAATAGTTAGTAAATAAGTCAGGTTTACAGATGATATCAAATAAAGGGGATCAGCAAACACTTTGGAAGTGGCAAAAGAAATTAAAAAAGATTTATGTAACATTCAAGACTAGGCAAACACCTGGCCAGCGACATTTAATGTAGACAAGTTCACATATTCCTGCAGTGGTTGCATTAGTATACTTCAAACATCTTTGTTTAAATGTAAACAAAAAACAAAAAACAAATTTAGATTGTACATTAGTATTTTAAATATTTTTGGAAAACCATAGTTTTAAGATAATCAAGAACAGACGCCCTGGTAATACTGAACAGAGTACAATGAAAAACGTTTAATATTTGTGTGAGAATGTATATTCAGCAGGGCTGGAGGTTGTGTCGGCGTCCTTGTGCAGGTTGTGTCCTTGACTAGGTGCCCTGCAGACTCGGCCATGCTGTTTGTCCAGGCCGTGGTGTCGGCAGTCTTCTCCACACCCCTCAACCCCTTTCTGGGCAGCGCCATCTTCATCACTTCCTATGTGCGGCCCGTCAAGTTCTGGGAGAGAGACTACAAGTAAGAAGACCTCTCCTCCGTCTCTTTGTACCATCTCCTTTCCTTTCTCACACACTGTACTCTCTAGATCATACTCCAAGCAAAAACGTTTTTAAAAAGCACACAAACGTGGCCTTAAGTGACTAAAAAATGTTCATTCTGAGCACAGGTTGGGCTCATTGTGAGTTCTAGCCTGGGTTGTGATTACCCAAGCAGCACCTCCCCAAGCAGTATGGCAGAACTCCCCATAGGGGTAGAGTTGGTATTCGTCTGCCTGGAATTCTGTTGGTTTTCTTACAAATATCACTATCTGTGGCTTGCCAGGCATCTGCAGGCTTGCAGTGATGGCAGTGAGAGATGGGCTAATCCCCCTGTGTTGTGGAGCAGTGTCAGAGGAAAACTAATGTGATGTGTCCATTTATCATTTTATTTAAATTGAACTGAGTTCTCATTCTCTCCATATGGTGAAGGAGTCACCATTACTGGGAGCCAAGATGTGGAGAAACAATCACTCCAACAATCATCCTACACAACCTTTAAATAATAATTGGAGAATAGAATTAAAAATACAAAAACTTGGAAAAGGTGAGAATATTTAAACAAGAAATAACAAGAAAATTTGTTTTCTTCATGTGTTTTCTTGTAGCACAAAGCGGGTTGATCACTCCAATACCAGACTGGCTTCTCAGCTGGACAGAAACCCAGGTAGGACAACAGAATAATAATTGATAGATAAAAGCCTAATTGCCGCAGATTGATTGATCCTGAGCACAAATACCCTAAACACCATCTGGAGTCCCATCTGGATCTCACTGGAAGAATCTCAATGAGTCGATGCCTTTCCGTGTCTTTGCAGTTAGGTTGTTGACCACAGCCTGGGTCAGCAATAAATGCTGCAGAATTAGGTAATTTAATACCGGATGTGGTTTTCAGTTTGGGGATTTTGGAATTGATTTGTATTTTAATCCCGGGTTAAAGAAACCTGATTCTTAATGTGATAATTAAAAATAGATGACTAACATCGCTTTCTTAAAAAGCATGTAAATGTGTTAAGTCTATTACACTGTGCATTGAATGGACTGAGCTGAGCAAATGACAATATATTTCTAAGTAGCCAACCATTTTCTTAAATAACGTGTTTTTGAGATTTCAAATTAAACATCGAATGAAAAATTCATTTTTGCGTTCTTTTCTGAGTATGATTGGACAGTGATGGGCTTGAATGACTAAACACTGAGCATTTTCATTTAAATATACACAGTTAAGTGATACACAGCTGATTCTTTTTAAATCGAATAATAAAAAAAGGATGAATAAACCTGTGTGCATCAGTCATCGTTCAGGCAACTGCGTCATACCGGCATTTGAAAATTGCTTTTCTGATTCCACGCTGATTGAGGAGTTGATAGCTGAGCTGAATGAACATGAAGATCCCCACCTCCTCTTTCAAGGAGGGTTATTTCTGTTCTGATGAACGTCATCAGATGAGTACCTGCTGGTACTGTTGTCCTCGCAACTGTACTGCTCAGGGGGCTTTTCTGGGCAGCCCAGTTTCACTGCTGCTGCTTGGTTAAAGCTGGCTGCTCCTACTGATCAGCTGATCTTGATCAGGTTCAACAGACTTCGCTTCAGTCAAGATCCACTCTGTTGGTTTTAAAGGAACAAGTAAAGGTTTATTCCATGCTGAAAAGAGAAGAAAGGAAACACAACGTTTCGGCTGTGGAGCCTTCTTTGGGTGTCAGCCGAAATGTTGTTTTTTCTTTCTTCTCTTTTCAGCATGGAACAAGCCTATTACTTGTTCCTTTGCAGCCTACACACGCTGATGCAGCTACCCAACTGAACTATTGATCTTAGCTTTGTTATTCAGCATAAAGCACTGCTGCCTTGCTGGTTTATGCAGTTTTCAGCTGAGGAGGTTCTGCTGAGCAGT